CGCTGTAAAACCGGTAACGGTATTTTGGCAAATACAAAAGTTATAAATGAGAAAAATGAAACCGAAAGGCAGGACAAACTATGAACTTTGAGAAGAGCTCCTGTCACTGAAATCTAAAAGCAAAAGCAACTCCTTAGCTCGGGGGATGACCAAAGTCCCAAGACTCTGTCGTATGTACAACTGGACTGGATAAAGAACTTTTTATAATGTGCTCCACTTATGCAGGGATCAAAAGAATCCCACAATGTTCGTACACAATTCCCAGAATACTATTAATATCTACTCGGGCTGTCTAATTTTCTTTCAAGATTTTAAGTCTTAGATTCCAAGGAAGTCCTACCCAGGGACCAATCCATATAAAAAGAGAAAACACCTCCGAGCAAGGACTGTTTCCAATCACCCTCCAAGTAAAAAAAGAGATTACTTGGCCTGTACCAACACCCAGCCACGGCCCGTGGACGGGGCTGATCCCGAGCTACCCCCCTGCAATCTAATGCAGACATCAATTTATTACCTAGCTGTGTCTGATTTTTATATTCCTTACATTTTATTATGCCAGGAGTGGAGCAAAAATCTACAACCGCCTCTGTAATTTCATCTGTGGGCTCCCTTCTAGGAGTAACTGCATGCCCAGTTTTGATCTGCGAGTAATGTCACAGTAATAAAACCAAACTAATTCTTCTCCCTACACACACACACGCACACGCACACACATCCTACGCTACCTTGATAAAAATGCAGAATTAGTCCATCACTGGTCCTAAGAGAGATCATTACCCAGGCCATTTTCTCTGAAGGGCTGCCTGCCAATCAGCAGGGCGAAGGCAAGACAGAGAAAGTTCTGAATGTGCTATCGGCTTTGCCCCCGTTTTTGTCTTTGGAAAATTGGTCTGCTCCAAGAGAAAGGGGAGAAAACACGGACCGGCCCTCTGAGGCAAGGTCTCCCAAGGCCTGGGATTTGCTGACATGTGGGGAGTTGCGACGTTATGAGAACAGCCCCGATGACAGCAACGCTATTCCACTCTGCTCCTAGGATGTCCAGAACAATCTAAGGGACCATGATAAACTTCGTCTGTGAGAGGAGAGGGCCCCGGCTGACGCACCGAGCTGTGAGGCACATGAAAGAAACAATAAAAACTTGATTTAAATGTGGGATCCTTTCCAGAAAGCTTAATTATCTATTGTATTACCACATTCCCATTATTCAGCAGCCTTGTCTGTCTCCAACTGAAGTCCAACTACAGTATTTGTTTGGAACAAATTCAGGGAAAACTCCAAACTACCCAGATCACAGAGGACTCCGTGAAATCAGGAACAACAGTTACATAAATAGAAGCCCCCTGGACTGGAAAATATCTGGGTCGTCTGCTAACTTTCAGGCACACTGAAAACAGGGGAATCCAGTTTCCAAATATCCATACCTATAGCTCCCTCCTGTTTTAAATCCCTGGGTACAGCTTCAGCAATTCTGGAAATGTATCATCCCACCTAACTAGTGATTTTACTTTGATGACCTGTCATGCTCAAAAAAGATCACCTCCAGCTCTTAATTTCTGTGGACACGCATAAATCACTGTTCGGCGCTCTGGCCTTAAATGCTTATTTGTTTTGGATGATCAGAAGATAAATGGCTCCTAAGGGTGTCATAGTGTATGAGACAAATATTTAACAAAACATCCCGAAGTCTGAAATGAATGGCTGTGTCTCAGATGCCAGTGTCCATTCCATTTTTTTAAAATTAGACAAATTTGGTGTTTGACACCAAGGAGGTGTCACCACAGCTGATAGAGTAGGATTTGGACTGTTTAGCTGGTCACCTGACACCAGGGACAGGCAGCTAATAATTCAAATGCAAAACCGCCCACAGCCAGAAAAGCACCTACAAATGGCTAAAACAAATACAATGAACTCTCTTTGTTCATACTGCGTTCCTGACCTTCCCCAAGACTGCAACTTAGCTGTACGTTCTTTCATGCCGACATGTAGGAACAGCCTTTAAACTCGGCGAATCAGGAGAGCCAAGTGTGCCTGACCTGCATCTGTCTTCACCACCCGCTTCCTCATTCACCCCCACGCGGTCCCACCACCTCACCTCCGGCTCTTTTCCTTGGGTGGGCCTCAGACTTTAAAAAGATCCACCCAAAAGGTCAAAATTATTTTTAAATAATTGATGCGTGCAAGAGGGAAAAAATTGCTCTCTGTGACTGGCTCCTGGAATCAGCAGCTGAAAAGGTCCCTCTAGACGACAGCGATCCGGTCATTCCCGAGGACTCCCAGGCGATACCCATTCCTGCGCTTAGAGGAGGCTGCTGAGAAATCCCTGATAGCTGGGACAATGCAGAAGGCAAAGGGGCTGGGCGGCAAGCCCCCTGAGGGCAGCTGGGACTAGGTCTCAGAGCCTCTCCTCACCCAGTCCCCCCCCCCCCCGCCTCGTACGGAGCAGCTTGATGATAACGGCCGCTGAAAGAAGGGATTTGTCTGGAGCCTAATTTTGAAACAAACAACCACAGCAACCACCACACATGTCGATGTCCTGAAGATGATCAGCTATATTAAAACCCCATTTTGTTGGGAAAAGAATGAGGTTGGGACGGGGAACAGAGGAGAAACTTCAAAACAAAACAAAAAACGGAGGGGTTGGGCGCAGACCTGTGCCGACAGGGTGCCATGAGCTAAAGGAGCATGAGCAACTCCATTTTGGACTTGTGTTTCCGAAATAGATGTTAAAATTAAAATTAAAATCCCTCATTGTAACAGCAACACCTCCCGGAACAATGCGGCTCACACTCCTCTCTACAAAACCTTCTTGGCTCTGGCCAACAGCTGGCAAGTTGATCCCTGCAATTTCCCCTCTGCAGAAATAGCTGTGATCGAGGAGAACTGACCTTAGTGGGCTCCTAATAAGCAAAAACCCGAGCCAAACCTGGGGGGCTGAGACGGAGGGTCATTGTTGTGTTAAGTACTTTACAACAACTGTTTCTTCCCCTCTTGACACAGCCTGACTTCCTTAAAGAAGATCTGACTGGCCAGACAGCTGTGTTGACCCTTAAGCCTTCTTTGATTCGTGATTTTTTTTTTTTTAACAAACAGAATAGAAATTCACAACCCAAATCCTTTCCTAAGCTCCAATACTTTTGAATTCACTAGTGTTGTGCCTGAAGGATGTGGACATTTCGGTAATCTATAAGCAGAAAGATAAAGATTGGGTCTACACAATCCCAAAACCTTCAGATGAAAAGCAAAATGGGGAGGGGATGGGATGGGGGGAGAGACAACCAGAAGCTTTATGCAGAGGTGATACTTGAAGTTCTGTGGGCAAAATCTGCTTAATGCCCTAAAAATTGCACTTTTCCCTCAGACACTGTGGCAACAGACAGACAACCAAGAACAGATACGGGCATGTCTTCTTTAAAAAATGTTAACCATAATTACCACTTTGCAAAGTGGCCTTGTGTTTTCGTTTCTTTATTCATTTCTGTATCTACCAACACTTCCCAAACAGAACATGTATTCCTTTTAGTGCTAAAAATGTAAAGTGATCTTTTCAAAATGCCCGGTACCCCTTCCGCACGAGGGTTAAAGTCAAGCAGAGGATGGCAAAGCAGCCCGGGGATGCAGAAAAAAAAAAAAATTGTGTGTGTGTGTGGTCACTGGGTATAAACGCTTTGCCAGTCTTCAGTAAACCTCACAGCCCAGGCAACACTGGAAGGAAGATATTTCTGTTCTCTCTCAGTGTTGTTGTTGTTGTTGTGGTTGTGGTTACATGGAGAGTTGCACACACATCTTGTCTGTGTTTTCAATAACGTGATAGGAACAGCTTTTCCTGCGCACCACCCCGCCCTTGATTATCCTCACGCACAGTTGTCTCTTATTCACCAGTAACAAATGCCGAATTCTCCTGCGCGGGCGCGCATGTCCACTGGGCCACACACACCAACCCAAGTGTGCAAAAAACGAGGCCTGCGTTTCAGCCGCTTTTCTCTCCTTTAGTACCATGCACAGCTTTGGGAAATCAGTGTCCCCACTGACTAGCCGTTTGGACAGGGAAAACCAGGTCCCTCTCCATGGACCCACTAAGCAGCTCCGGGCCTGCCTGGCGAGAACCAGGAAATCCCTCTAACTCCCACTCCCGGCTGCGTCCAGGCTTTAGGCATTACAGAAACCTAGGTTCCAAATAATCTACTTTCTTAAATACCTGCCGCCTAGTTCTCCAAACACACCCGCACGGTCAGGTCGGCAGGAGAGAAGTGAATCCCGTGCAAGGCTGCACGACACACCCACGCGGGAATTCGGGGTGGGGTGGGGAAGTGTGCGGTGCAGGAGGGAGCCTCAGATCGGGCCCCTGCGCCCCAGGGTTTTCTAGAAACGGGACAGGGGTCGCGGACTGTGAGAGAAAAGGCAAACAGGGTGCGCGGAGCTTGGAGGGGCAGCCGCGCCGTTTCTGAGCCCAGTCTATCGCGACGCCGGGGGACAAAGCCGCACGGGCACCGCGCACAGGGGACGGAAGCCGCGGGAGCAGAAAGCTGGCGGCTCGCTCGGAGTGCCTTGGTGGCGCAGACACGTGGCGGAGACGGAGCGGGAACCCCGCGCGCAGATGTGGGCCACTGGCAGCCCGCGGGGCACCCCAGGGAAGGGGAGAACCGGGACCCAGCCGGCAGGACAGGGGTCGAAGTCCTCACACAGGTGTGTCCTCCGGGAAGCGCGCGGTGGGAGTACAGGAGCCCGGGGGGACTGCGCACCCGGGAGCACACGGCGGAGGGAGCCGGCGCTTGCGCCCCTGCGACCCGAGCGGTGGCAGCGCGCCCCGCGCGGGTCTCCGCGGCCCCGGGAGAGGGCAACCCGCAACAACCTGGCGGTGAATCGGCCTCGTGCGTTTCTGGGCTAGAGGGTGCCTCCGCGCCTTCCGGAAGCGTATGGGGGTAAAAGAGGACCGAGTCTCCCGCGCTTGCTGGTGCCCTTTTTGGGGTAGGAGGGTGCGCTCCGGAGACGCGATCACTTACTTCTCGTAGTCATACTTGCAGTAGAGCTTCTTGTCCCGGTAGAAGCAGGTGGTCTCCAGGGGCTCTTTGCAGGAGGCGCACTGCACGCACTGCTCGTGCCAGAAGCTGTCGTTGAGCCGCAGCAGAAACCTGTCCGAGATGACCCGTTGACAGCCCTCGCAGACAGACTTGGGGCTCACCGCTCTGCCTACAGCAGCAATAGACGTTCTCAGGTCAATCGCGCCGGCCCAGCATCCCGGTCAAACCCGGCCGGGACCCGCTCCGATCACTCGCCGCCCGCGGATTTCCCGGGCGGCCCCCACCCCGGGAAGCCCTCGGCTCATCAACCAAACCGAGCTTTAGAGAACGGAGAAGAATCAAACCAGGTGTTGTTTCTAACAAACGGCAACTCTACGGGAAGGTTTAAATTCTACCGGGGGAGGGGACGGAAATCAGTAACAAGGGGACTTAATTATCAAACCTACCCAGGTATTCGCGCAAACGTGCGCCCAACTAGTAAAATCAGACGACAAATAAATCTGCGCTCCGGGATTTATCATGTAAGCCTTAAGTCACTCACTGCGCTTGTCTCTTTTGACTATTAGGAAAACCGTGAGTCTATAAAAAGAATTTGGGGGCACTCGTTTTGTTTTGTTTTGTTTTGTTTCTTCTTTTGCTATAACGCGATTCTGTTGTATTTTTGAGGGAAAACTTTGAAATTTTAATTTTTCTCCTAAAAAGTCTCAGACGTACAGAAAAATACCATCTCGCTCCAGGCAAACTCGGTATTGTTCAAAGCAATGCACGCCCAAGTGCTGTACCTTGGCTGGAGTACAAGTTGCGGGTGGGTTTACACGTTTAATATTATGTGTATATATGTATGTAGACATATACATAATTAAGAAGCATCAAAATAAGAGGGGTAAAAAAGGAAAGAAGCGGGACGCGGAGATGCGGCGGGAATTCCCGGAATCCCGCACGCTCAGCTACCGCGCGTTCGAGCAACACCCACCCCAAACCCACTCCACGCAAACAGGGAATGCTCTCTACCTTACCCCTTGGACTTTGTCTGTTTTGCTCCTTTATTTTGCTGGTGGGGAGGATGCCCTTTTTTAGGATGTGGGAACGCTTGGCTGCCTTTGTCGGCACATTTCACAGCTATTTAAAGAAGGCCTTGTCCCCTGATAACAATACTCTTGCGCGTGGTGTCCCAAAGGGCCTGACCCTTCCCCCACTTCCTTGCTACACTCCTGTCGCTTTTTCCCTTGGGGGATCCTGTCACCAGCTCCTGAGTGGGGCCAGTCGCCTTGGGGCACACAGGGAGGGCTAAGAAAAGTAGCGAGACACTTCTTAATAGTATGATTCTCTGTTCTGCCCTGTCTCGGCGTTCAGGGCCAGGACCCGGGCATTGGGAGTCGCCCGGAGCCGCGCGGAGCGCACACTACGGGCCGCGACGCCTGCCGTAGCCACAAGGTCGCGTGCGCTCCGTGCCAGGGCAATGCCAGCTCTGGCCCCCCGCGCTCTTCCGACGCTGCACGGAGTCGAGAAGTTTCCCAAATAGGGGTTGAAAGGGGGGAACGCAGTGTGCGTGATTTCATTTCATCTGGGGAGCAGGGGGGAATTCCTCTCCGGCTATGGTTTCTCCAGCCAGACTGTCTCATCGCCTTCACCCTACTCTAGCGGCTCCGAAGGACCGAAAGAGGCAAGAGGTTTAAATGACAAAACGAAAATCTCCCCCGCTAAAATATTAAAGCACCCGCTGCCCACAACTGAAAAGCACCAAAGTATTCGGGGTGGCAGGTGGAGTTGAGAATCCTCGGCCTCAGATGAGCGAGCCCCACGCGAAAGGACACCCTTTCGAGGCCCTTGGCTAGCGGCTCCTCCGTGGTCGCTGCAAAGGGTTTGGGGAGGCTGAGGGGAACCCGCCGGCCTCGAAGTCCCGCTCCAGTTAATTAAAACCGAAGCGAGGGCCCTGCGGTGCGGGCTAATCCCCGCGCTGCGCTGCCCACCGGCCCGGAAAAGCCCTTCGGCGGTGCCCGAGGCTGAGATTGCGGCTGGAGTTGGTGGGGACGAGAAGCCGCTTCGAACTTGGGCGCCTTGGGTTTCTTATGCTCGCCCCTAGGCCGCCGAGAAGCCGGCGGCATTTACGAGATGTCGATCAACTCCGTGATTAAAAATCCAGCCCCGAGTATTTTTAATCACTTGCCGCTCAGACCCCGCGAGCAATCTCGCCCGCCCCTCGCGGCTTTGGGGAATTCGGTGCCCGGCGCGTGAGACCTGGGGCGGCTTGTCGGCTTGGGTTAGGAAGGACCCACAGGGACTGACGGACAGACGGAGCGTGGGCTCAACCGAGTGCAGTACGCAGGGCGCTGGCTCCCTTACTGCCGAACGGGTCCCGGTGGGCTGGGCTGCAGAACTGGGGTCTGCTGGAAGGAGGGTGCGTCTGGGGAGCACGGCCTGAACACTTACCCAGCAGCGAGGAGAAGGACGCCGAAGTCTCGATGGCGCTTTGGAAGTTCTCCTCCATCTTCAGGCCGTCCAGCATGTTGGGACCGGGCCGGGAGGACCTGCAGAGGAGAGGAAACGATGCTTCTGGGGTCCGTGCCCTCTGGGACCGGGAGCCCGCAGCCGCCACACTCCTGGGAAAGGACGGAGGGAGTGTCCAGGGTCACCAGAATGAGCCGGGAGGGGAGAGTCCAGCCAAGAGAAACGTGGGGTGGGAGGAGAGAGAGGAGCCACCGCGAACTGCTCTGACTGATCTGATTTCACTTGAAGTCAACGCGTTTTGTACTCAGACCTCCGCCCCCTAACTGCGCTTCTCCTTCTCTTGCCCCCCCCCCCCCCCCCCACACACCCCCCCTCCCCCCGTCCCCAGCCCCAGGTTTCCCATCCCGAGTCCGACTCCGCCCTAACCTGTACCAACGCGGGCCCTAGGGACAGCTCTGTGGGAACCCAGCGACGCGGGGAGACCGGGATAAAAGGAGTGGGTGTTCCCCTCGCGGGGCCGGGCTCGGGCACGCGGGGCTGCGAGGTCTACGGCCCGCGCCCCGACCGGCCCGGGGCGTCCCTCACCTGCCTCCGCCCAGGCGGGGCCGAGAGAGCGAGCCGGAGCGCGCCCGCCTGCTCGCCGACCCCGGGCGCCGAGAGCTGCTGGGGGCGCGCGGGGCGGTCCTCCCGCCGCTCGGCTGGTGCCGGGAACGTCTGCAGGAGCGCAGAAGTCGCCTCGGGGAGGAGCCGCGGCTGGCCCTGCTCACTCTTGGATGCATTTCAAATCAACTTTCCGAAACGCGCCCGCCCGAGCCGGAGCCCCGGAACGCGCAGCCCTCCTTACCTGGTGGGCGAGCTCGCTCCCCTCGGCAGGGGCGGGAGGAAGCCGCCGGGCGCCGCGGGGAGCTGCGGCCGGGACAGGCGTAGGCCCTCGAGGCTGCAGCCGGCGCGTCCGGGAGGGAGCCCGAGCGAGCGCCGGCCCCTGGCTCCGCTCCTCGGCGCGCCGGGGCCGGGCCGGGACGTGGCCGCAGGCGGCCGGCCTTCTCGGGACGTCCTGGCCCGCCGCGTCGCTCCTCGGGGGGCGGGGACGGCCGGGGCTGCTCCGAGGCCGGGAGGGAGGGCGGAGGCCCGGGGTCTTGGGTGCGAGTCGGGCCCTGCTGCGCCGGGGCGGATCCGGCCGCCGCGGACAGGGGCAGCGGCGCGGCGCGCGGCGGAGGGAAGGGGTGGGGTGCGCGGGGAGGCGGGCTGGGAGCGCGCCCCTGGAGCGGCCGCCGAGCTCCCTTTCCCGGCCGGGCTGTGCGGCCCAGCTCGCCGCGGGCGCCTCGCAGGCACGCAAAGTTTCCTCCCCTCCACGTGCAAGGGCTCCCTCTGGGCGCTCGGGCCGGGCCGCCCCCCTGACCCCCGCGCCCCCGGCTCCGCCGCGCTCGCACGCCGCGTTCCCCGGCCGCTCTCCGCCACCGCAGGCGACGGCAGCACCGCAGCCCTCCCCGCGCCGTCCGAAGCGCCAGGAAGCTGTTGGCTGCGTGCGGTTGATTGCGGGGACCCCCCAGAGCTCTGAGCTCTTCAGTCCCCTTCTCGGTCGGCCGTGGCTCCCGTAAAGTTCCCGACTTCCGCCGGGCTCCAAACCCGCAGAGCGGTTCAGATGGAACCGGTTCACGGATGGGGGGTGCAGAGGCCATAGGAGTCACGGCCAAAGCTCGAATCGGGCTCCCAGTAGAGACTAGGTGGGATCTGACCCCCAGACACTGAATCCTCAATGACACTGAGTCAGCTAAGGGGGCATACTTAGGGGAGCAAAGTCAACTCCCTACATCTCCTAACCTTAGCTTTCAGCCGTCGACCTTTAGCCCCTCCAGGAGCAGGAACAGGGTCTTAATCATCCGTGTACTCCAGGAGGTGAGCTCGATGCCTGGCCCCCAGAGGATACTCAATAAATAAATCATAACGCGGGCTAACATTTATCGAACATTTTATTATGTGCCAGGCTTGGTTACACAGTTAACTCATTTAATTTTTACAGCAACCCTGTGAGGTGGAGACAATTATTATCCCAATATTACAGGTGAGGAAAACGGGAGCAGAGTGAGTACCACGGGAAGGGTCAGTTCGGCGGGATTCTCTGGGGGGGGGGGGCCTCAATTCCTGACTTGTAGGGAACTGAATTGGAGTTGCCAGGCACTTTGACAGAGTGAACCTGGGCAGGCTCAATGCCACAGAGCCAGCGCTTTCTGTTCCTTTCTCCAAGGACAGGACCACTTCCTTATTTTTAAAGAAAAAGTGCTGGCAGCTCGGGCTCCAATGTGCTGGGGGGGGGGGGGGGGGGGGGGGGGTGCCTTGACCCCACTCACTATCCTAAGTGCTTTCTGCCAGCAGCCACAAGCCAAACACAGAATATGACTTCAGGGAAACAAGGGAAAAGGGCAAAGAGTTTAATACTTTACATCTGAATGCTGCTTTATACTTTCCAAGATACTTTCACATACATGATTTTTGCTTGATCTTTACAACAAACCTGTGAGGTAGGCAGAACAAATAATTTTATCCATTGTTTCAGATGAATCTTTGGGGCTTAGCAGGGCTGGGAGATTTCTCTGATGTTGCCCAGATGGTTAGTGGCATGTCCCCTGACACCTGTCCTTTGTCCTTTCTGCCACCCCAGGAAGACTGTGTGTGGGGGGGGGGGATATGAATTATGAAAGTATTCTTAGGATAACATATAAAATAGAAGTCAGGCAAGCAAAACATGGAGACGAGCAAATACAAGCATAAGGAATTTTTTTTTAAGATTTTATTTATTTATTTGACAGACAGAGATCACAAGTAGGCAGAGAGGCAGGCAGAGAGAGAGAAAGGAGGAAGCAGGCTCCCTGCTGAGCAGAGAGCCCGATGTGGGGCTCGATCCCAGGACCCTGGGATCATGACCTGAGCCGAAGGCAGAGGCTTTAACCCACTGAGCCACCCAGTCGCCCCTATAAGGAATATTTTTAAATGCCCAACAGAGTTTTGGTTTCACTGAAGGTCTTGAATTTATGAACTATGTTCAACTACTGGTAAGAATATTCCTTTTAGAGAATACCCTGGAAGTGGGTAGGTCCTCATCTGATCTGGGACGCAAATCCCTCAAAGTGTCTTGCATTTGGAAGGTAGCCTGATCAGCAGAGATCACTCACAAGTGTTGGGTAGGGCTGCCTTTCCCCCAGCTGGCTCTTGGGCACCTTCATGATGGGGACTGAGTCTCATAATCACATTGTAAGCCCTGGGGTCCTTAGTGCAGAGCCAGGCACATATATGTGATTAACATATGCCACTTACTTAACCGCGGGATGAGCGTTGTGCTCACTGGCGGGGGGGGGGGGGGGGGACACTCTAGAAAAGGTGAAACCTCCCAGGGGCAGGAATCCAAGGACCTCACTTTCATGGCCAGCTCTGCCACTGAGTCAGGCGGGCCAAGTTCGCCTTTCTGTGCAACTGTACTTCCTGTCCACAATGAAGGTGTTATACTCACTCGGTGGCCCCAAAGGCCTCCCCAGTCTGCGGTCTGGGAAGCAATGGGGCAGCGTTGGCAGCAGAACCAGCAGCTCCTGATCATTCACTCTGCAGACTTGGTCCAGTGTAGACGCAGATGTGGCTAAGGGATGTGTCCCAACCATTCCAGATATGGCTTGTGTATCCGGGGTTCTCTCTTTTATGCTTTATCTTCCCTCTCTCAATGAATTGGGGATCATGAACCCCGCTTCTCCCCCAGTATCACTTCACTTTGGCCTGAGCCAGCCCAGTGACATCGTGGGTAGGCAGACAGATATCTGTCCAACTGTGAAAGATTCTCCCCATCAGGCCACATGGTTTTTCATTTTAGACTCAAATGATAGGATTTCACCTTCTTAATGACTGAAGAAGTCCTGAAGCTTTTTATGAAGGAGAAGCCATAGTCTCCCTTTTATCAGAAATACTGTTTTCTGAGAGTTTGTGGAAGTGAGGTAAACAGGCTTTAGAAGAGACACTCCGAATGACTGACTTCTAGAGATGGAAGTGACCTTGAAGCTCATCTGGTCCAAGTGTTAAGTTTATGTTGGGGCAAAATTCATTTCCCTAGCACGGTCACATCTGGTCTGCTGACTGCTCAGGGCTGGCCATTGGAAATGTCAAACCCTACTTCCAAGATCTGTCAGATGTGGGCAGAGCTGCCCTCTCTGTTCTGCTCCCTTTGTTTCTGAACCTGCTCCAGTGTTTCTCTGTCCCTCCTAAATCATGCCCCCTGGACCTGGTGCAGCTTTCCAGTGACCGTGTCCAGAGACCCGGGGCTCTCTCTGGCCATAAAACACCCATCAACACGAACTGGTTTGGGGTTAGCATTTTCAGCGGCTGCTGCTTACTCATCCTGTGTGTGTGACGACCAAAACCCCCTCTGTCCTTTTCCCCATGGGCCACTGGGAGGCCACATCTCCCCGAATTGCAATTATACAATTGGTGTTTGGCCCCAAGTGTGGAAACTTAACATTTATCCCTGTTAAGAGATAGGCAGCTATTCCAAACATCAGGAATCCTGTAACTTGAAGCAGATTCCAAGAGATCCAGGGACTGTGTCTGAAGCCTCGTACTTCGCTCTGAGGAAGAAATGGAGGGCCCTGGCCAAGTTGGTCTGGAAGCTGCCAGCATTGGAGGAAGATAGGCCAGGGTAATGAATAAGGAGCGACAATGAAGACGGGGCATCAAGAGGGTGTGCAGGGACCTTATAACCTGCCAGGACCCCTTCACCTGGGAGGAGGCCCTGGTCCTCTTTCAGTCCTCTGCCATCACCTGTCCTTTGTCAAGTAACCATCTGTGGAAGATTCTGGAAGACAAGCAGACCGGCCATTGGGTCACCCTTCCTATGGCAGAGAACACAGAAGCACCACCACCAGACTCATGAACGACTGTGGCTGAGATTTGAGTCGAGGAGAGAGGAACGGGTAGGCCCAGGCCCTCGCATGGTGGGAGGGAGACAGCCAGGGAGGGAGGACATCCTGCTACAGAGTGGAGATGACAGGAACATGTTTTTTTACTTTCCTTTTCTTGCTC